TGACGACCGTGGTAGCACAATAACTGCGATGGAGAGAGTCTGGTACGTCGGCGAATCATGCATGCAAGCTCCTCGCTCGGCCATCGAAATCTTGACCGCAATTGGGATGTATGCACTTCCTTTCTCGCCTATACGCGGCTGATGGTGCTGTACCGGTACAGCGCGGGGCTGTAGCTGAGGTTGGCGCATTTCTGACATCCCTACTGCAGCAGCGCGGCTGAAGTCACAATCCTACATCAAGTGAATACTCTTGAGTCTTTGATGACTGAGCAACTCTTGAGTAAAAGGTGGTAACGGCGACTGAAGACCGAGTCTGGTGAATCGTGAATCGTGAATCACGTGAATGGACGTGTCATACATGCGTCTACTGAATTCGCTTTGACAGAGGAGTGGCCGGCCCGCTCTAGCACAAAAACAAAGCGTGTGAGACATTGCGCGGAAGATTTATCCGAGGGAGCATCCCTATATGGCTGCATGAATGAACCATATATAATAAGCTTGATTCACGATTGGCGCCAATAGGCAATACCGATGAGACGGTCGAAGCAGAGCGAGAACCTGCATGATCAGCTGGGGCGCCAGCCTCGCTCGCAATCATCATGGCTCACATCTGACAGCCTTCCATAGGTCCTCGTGAGAATGGTGCGTGACAACGACCGCGTGGTATCACTGCCCTCGGCACCGCTTTTGAGCATATCACGAGGCGTATAGCCAAAGTTCAGAGGCAGCTAGTCGACGGGAATAATGGCATTGCTAGTCCGATGCGAGGTGCTTGGCTGCCTCGCTGAGCCAGACTGGACGAGGTGGTCGCATATTATTCACGTGATTTGACGACTTGATTGGCTTACCCTTGACTTTTGACTGCACTCGACAGAGCAGGGAAAATTGAGATGGCGCTCAGTCATGCTTACGGCGACGAGCTTTCTCTGGAGACGAGTTCCTGCAGATACATAGCCAAGAGTGCCACATCGCCAAGGGATGCACAGACGAATGAAAGAATCTTTCAAAAAAATCGGCCTGCTGCTTATCTTGCCTTGCCAAGCTGTGTATCTTCATCTGCCGTCATTCGATAGAGCTGCGTGTGCATGGCATGCGGGATCGACCATCTAGCTTTAGGCACAGGTCATGGTGAGGGGTGCGCTGCTCGAAGCGTCGCAATCGAACACCTCGATCGTCGTCGGACTTGCAACGATGTGAGCGATCGATGTATTTGGACGGCAAAAGCAGCACACGACGCACTGCATCCATACTCAAGACTGTGTGGATGCGAGCGGCTGAATTGAGAAGAGCGGGTGCTGCTCCCATGCTGCTGCTGCATGCATATAAGTATGTGTACAGTATAGCTACCAAGTGCTGGTGCAGAGCGGAGTCGGGCGGGCGGGCTTCCGACGCGCAGCTCTTGGTTGCCGCGGCGATGGCTTGGCGCTTTCATGTGATGG